ATTACTTTATAACTTTAAAAGAAAATATAATGAGAATATAGATTAGTGAAGTAATTGTATATTTTCTTTATAAAGTTATAGTATGAATGTGTAATAGAGCTTTTGCTAATGAGGAAACTAGCATCTGATTCCTGTATTTAATTTTTATTGTGGATTTGAGGGATTCAGCAGCTAGGGAATCAGTGGCAGATCTCAGACTCACTGTGACATGAGAAGGTGTTAGTGAATGCCCCAGCCACCCATGGCACGTGCACCTACATATATAATAGTGTAGCTAGCTCACTGAGAGTCCCACAGTCGCAACAAGGTTGATATCAGACTTTTAGATTGGGCGCAGGCGCCGAACTTTTGCTTACGTCATCCAACCACCAGTTTGACCAATTAACTAACTCCGTTCCCAGTTAGACAAAACTAAAGTTTAACTTGCAGCGATCAAACCCTTTCACATTCAACTCGATATAATCTCTGAAACAAACTTGGTGCCTGTTGGACACTCTCTTTTATCGCTCTCTATCTACCTCCAACCACTTATCCCGTCCTTTGACCTTCTTGTTAGAGCAAATTTATTTCTTGTCTTCTTACTGGCTCAGCTCCATATTCCCTACTGACGTCAACATGGATAGAATCAAGGAGGTCAGTTCCTCCTCCACTACAGCGGGGTAGCCATGGATCATACCAGAGCTCCCCTTTGCTTTTGTTTACGACAAATATACCCCTAATTTATCCGCTGGTGTACCCAATTTCTGTGCCTTTTATTTATCAGTATGTTTTATTTACAGTAGTATGGTACTGATGCTACATATTCTTTTTTTACGCCTAGAAAATGAACACACTACGCCTTGAAGCCGACGAGGCCCAGGCTAAGGTCCAGGAGCTGCAGATCAAAGTGAAGAGTCTCGAACAGGAAAATCTAGCAAAGGAGCAGGAAATCAAATCACTCTCCCACCGCAACCAGCTGCTAGAGGCCGATGTGGAGAAACTTGAGTGTGATCTGAAGGAGGCCAAGTCTGCCGCCTCTGAGAACGCCCAACACGGTACGCAGAACGAGTCCCTGCAAAGGCGTGTGCAGCTTCTCGAGGAAGAGGCTGAGGAAACTGATAAGACTCTGCGTGAAACAAATGAGAAGTATGTTCCTTTTTGTCTGTCTCTTTGTTATTTCTCACATTTATATTAGTCATATAAACACTCTTTTTCTAACCACTCTCCTTTGCTCACATAGGCTCCGCCAAACTGACGTCAAAGCTGGACACTATGAACGTAAGGTCCAGGCACTCGAGACTTCCCGGGACCAATGGGAGACCAAGTACGAGGAAATGGCCAAGAAATACGCCGATTTGCAGAAAGAACTGCAGGAGCTGGAGACCTCGATGGGCAACGTGTAGGGGTGGCAATAAGATTGTCTGCATAACTATTATTGCCAACAAGAAGTATTTTCTTTTCCCTGTCCTGTGCATTGTTGTACGTGTTTAAGAGATTATGAGATCTCCGTCCTTGGTGCCAGCGATATTATCCTCTTGCCATCCCCCCCCGCTTTAAAATATTAAAACAACCACCAAATTCATAGTTCCCTGGGGAAGCCGTTGCCCTGCCACTTTTATGCGTGTGTCTGTCCGGCTGAGAGTTTGCCTCTGGCCCATTTTTATTATTCCCCCATATTCCAGTCAACTTTTTTTTCTTTTCTTTTCTTTTCTTTTCTTTTTTTTTTTGGCTGGTAGATAGAGCTTTTGATGAGTGTGAATTGTTGCCCCGTTGAACACACATGGATCCATCAACTTGCGAACCAAAGCCGCCAAGTCGATCAAAACCATTTTTCCGCATGTTATTAAAATATATTCTTCATTTCTCCCATCAAATCCATAAAACCAGCCCAATCCTCGCCATCACTTCTCTCTCCTCTCTCTAGCCCGCTTCTTACTCCCCGACCGCTCTTTCATCTTCGTAAACTTCCGTTCGGTCTTATTCTCATACCAGAAATTCCTCTTCATCTGTTTTCTCTTCTTCAACCGCTCCGCACTATCATCATTCATCTTCATATTCTTGTTCTTCAGATTCGTCTTGTTCCATACTCGTTTCTGCCGGCTTCGAGCCGTCTTCGCTTTTTTCTCCATGATCATTTTGCTCGTGATCATTCTCCTTTCCACCACCCCGCGCATCTTCCTGTTCCTCATCATCCTTCCTCCACAACCATTTCCGCGACGTATCCACCTCCTCCACTGTAACAGCCGTATATTTATCCTCATCGATATATTCCTTCTCGTAATCAACTGGTGTAGGGTCAGCAATTCCATCCCACTCTTCATCCTCCCCTTCACCCTTTCCACCCTCTTCACTTCCAAAATCGCTATTTATTTCCCGCACCAGAGCTTTATTCTCCGCAATGGCCCGTTCAACCTCCGTGCGTCGTTCTTCTCGTATCTATTTCCCGATAGAAACAAGAGATAAATTAGCAACTTGACAACACCATATAAATAACATGACATAGAGTCGCAAGGAATAAGAAAATTTATATACACACCCTCCGCCTCTGCTCCCTCTTCTCCTCCTTCGCCCTTTTCTCCGCTTTCTCCTGCGCATGTTTAGCGCGTTGCACTTTGCGCTTGTGAAAACCCGTAAGATACATCTGTCGCGCACTGGGATCGAAGAGAATTTCCTGTACCACATTGGTGCTAGGAGCAGCGACCTTGCATTTTCTGAGATTTGAAGACATTTTGCCTTTTTTTATAATAGTTGGAGGCGTCGAGGAAGGGAGCTGTGTGTTTTTCAATCTGTTTTCACTAATAAATAAAAATTAATAATGATATAAATAGTAATTAAAAATTAATTGAATGAAAGCATCCTCTGTGAACTCACTTTGCTTGATGGTTCCTCCAAAATTGAAGTTGAATCTACATCAGGAATATGTTAGCGTCCGATGCTTGATGACTAATAAAATACCATATATAATTAACTTCAAATGTGCTTCTATTGCCTTCGGGCATTTGGTCAATTTTGAAACGATACAGAGAAGATTAGCATGGCCCCTGCACTAAGGATGACACGCTCAATCAAAGAGAAGCTACATGTTTTTTTCTTACCCTTACTGACCCTTGATGCTTTAATGTTCTACATTTTCCTCTTTTCCCAACATCGATATAAGGGGCCTCCAGTTTTGACGATCTGTGGGTGATATTTTGTGCGGGCAAGTGGCCGTGGGTTCGAAACGAGGGAATGTCAGAATTATATATTTTTTTTCTCTGACGCCGTTCATGTCAGGGAGTCTAATGGAGGAAAGAAATGACTTCTAGCTATTTATTTCCTTTTTGCCCTCAGTATCTAGATTGTGTAAACTAATTTAGCATTGAGATGAAATTCATTTCAGTTCAGTACTCTTGAAGTTCTTCTCTATGATTATTTAACTGTTGACTAATATCTCCAAGTAAATATGAAAAACTCTACTTCTGTGATAAGATGGGGATAAGATAACAGAAATACTACAGTTCAGTTCAGACGATTTCACTTACTCATTCAAATTATATGAGAATACAGAGCAGTTCAAATATTCAAATAGATAAAGCTGAGATATTATCTATAATGATGATACAGAGTATTAGAGAGTGAATGTGAGCTGCATAAGAAGAAATTTTTTGTGTTGCTAATTATTAATCAAACTCTAGTGATTGATTTCATAACCAACCTTCAGTTAAATCATTGCATATGAAAGTCTATCACCTCAATATAAACTATCATCTTAACATGAAACATTTTTTTATTCAGAATATTAAATTAATTTAACAATAAATGTAGTAAGATTTATTCAATACAACTTGCTTAAGCAGTACACAATCTATTTATGACTTTTTCAAGTAAATTTGATAATTTTAATATTAATATTTTTATCTTTATAATATTATTTAAATTTTATCATAATTTTATTTTATTTCAAATATAACTTCTTTAATATTTTATAATTATCAAGCTTTTGATAAATGACTGTCATCTTGTATATATTAGATGCAGATATGATCTTTTCTTATATACTACTCTTTAAATACTTGCTGATAATACTTATAAGCTACAGTAACTGTAATAATTTTTAAAAGCTTATTCTATAGAAAAATTACTGTATTAATTATTATTATACTATCTTTATAGAGTTTTTTTAACTCAATTTGAATATATTCAGAGTCTTTGATATTCTTCATAGTCTTTAATTTGCACTTATATTAGTTGAATTAATATATAATTGAAAAAGTATATCAAATTAAAAAGTATATAAATAAATATAAATAAACTATTATTATTATTATTATTATTTATTATTTAATATATATTCAGTTTATAATTCTAATATCTATTTAATTAAACTATAATTTAATTATTTTACTAATATAACTAATAAATATTAATTAACTCATATATTTATAGTTTTAATTTTATTTTAATCTTTTTTTCAATTTAAATAAAATAAAATAAAATAAAATAAAATAAAATAAAATAATAATTTAATATAAAAAATCTTAATAAAAATATTATTAAAACTATTTTTAACTTTTTTATAAATTAAATATTAAATTTATTAGATAGCAAATTTTATTCTTCAGAGATAATTTTTATTTTCTTTATAACTTTAACTAAAAACTTTATTTTTAATTTAGTATTAAATAGAAAGATCATATTTAATTGATTAATTAAGTGTTTTTTATTTTTTTAATTTTATTTTTATCTTATTATTTAATAAGTAATTCATTAGTATATAATTTGAATTTTACTATATCATAGAAATCATATCTATCAGAGTTCAAAGAATTTTTAAATCTTTTTATATATGATTTAAAGTAGATATAATTAAGTTTTAATTATATTATAAAGGAAAATATTTTCTTTTTATATTTTATTAATATAGATTTTTACAATAATTTTATTTTATATTTTATATACTGAGTATTTTTTTTCTCTTTTTTTAAATTTTTATTCATTTATTAAGATATAATTTTTAATCTTTTTTTAATAAATAATCAGAATATAATTCTTTAAATTACTTTCTAAGTTTTAATTTTAGTCTTTAATACTAAATCTACTTTTTTATTTTTTAGAATATTTATATAAATAGATATTTAAAATAAATAAATATAATAATTTTAAAATTTAAATTTTAATTCTTTTTATTATTTTTTAAAGTAGTTTAAAATTTATTTATTTATTTTAAATTTTATATTTTTAAAGTCTTTTTAATACTATTTGACTATTTGAAAATATTTAAATATTATCAATATTTACTTTTTAAGAGATCATTTTATTAGTTAATATAAATATTTTTTGAATTATAAGTAATTCAGTATTAAATACTTCATATTTTTTTTCTAAATTTTATGAAAATATTTTATATTCTAAATCTGATCTAAAATATTTAACTACTATATCAGCTTTTAATTATACTTGTTTAATTTTTAAATTATTTGAATATATCAATAATAAATTCTTTTTATTTATCTTTAGAAGTTTTTGAGTATATATAATTTTTTCTTTTATTTTAACAATTTATTAATAATAATATCTATTAATAATCATAAATTTTTTTTTAAAAAAAAATAGAGTTTATAGTAATTTATATTTTCTATATTTAAATTTAATAATTGATTTTTAATCATAATATATATTTTATATAGTTGAAAAGATAATATCTTCTTTATATTACTAGAGAATTTATTTTAATCTAAAAATTTTTCTGTATTTAAGTTTTTTTTAAATATATTTAAAAGATATAAAATAAATACTTTTATTTAAATTAAATAATTTATATTTATTTTTATAATTTATTCAACTTTTATTTTATATAATAGTTGATAATAAAATTAATATCTCTATTTTCAAAGCTTTAACTGATGATATTTTAAAAGCTTCTAGAATTATTCTTAAAACTTTATTTTATAATAGTTGAAATTGATGTATAAAGCTCTTTTACTCTTTTCATCAAATCTCTACTGTATAATCTAATATAGAAGTTGTATAAGCTATATATAATTATTTTATAGCTTAAAGAGATAAATTTTTTTCTATATTATAAAGTTTATTAATATTATTCAAAGTTCTCTTAAGCTGAGCAATTCTTTATAACTATAAACTTTAAAGTTAAGCTTTAAGTCTTATTATATCTCTAGTTATCTCATAGATATTTATGATTTAATAACTTTATTTTAAAGATTAATAGTTTTTTTTTATTAATTTTTTTAGAATAAAAATATAATAAATTAATTTTATTTATATCAAATTGAATAAAATTTTTACTTTTTTAAAAAATATTTTCTTTGCAGCTCTCTCTATATTATTATAATTTTTTTATATAAATTTAGAATTAGTAATAAGATTAATATTATCAATATAGTATGATGATATAGAATAAGCTTCGTAGTTTTTTTAATAGCATAAG